GCCTTCCCCCAGCACCAACCCGAACCCAACCCCTGCCTTCCCCCTGACCCAGCTTCTGCCTCCCCCCGCTTCCATTCCCCACCGCTGCCGGGGGGGGGCTGAGCTGGAGGCGTTTTGGGTCCCCTGGAAGCACCGCTCTGCACCCGAGGCAGGGCTGTGAGCGGCACCGAGCTGCGCTTGGGAAGGGGAGATGAGAGCAGGACGAGGGAAATGGCTGGGATTGAGGGAGGGCAGATTTCAGCTGGGTGTCAGGGGGAAGTTGTTTGCTGTGAGAGCGGTGAGGTGCTGGAACAGCTGCCCAGAGAGGCTGTGGATGGGCATCCATCCCTGGAGGTGTTGGAGGCCAGGTTGGATGGGGCCCTGGGCAGCCTGGGCTGCTGTGAAATGAGGTTGGTGGCTTTGTGGGGTCGGAGCTCCGTGATCCTCGAGGTCCCTTCCGACCCAAACCGTGCCGTGGTGCTGCACACCCCAGCTGTGTTCCCCTCGCTGCCCCCCTGTGTTTAAGGATCGCTGTTCCCCGACGGCTCCCCACCCCATGATCCCCTCTGTCAGCCTCGTTTCCCCCACAGATCGACCCTGAGGGCTGTGGGTGCTGCTGGGGGGGGGCATCTGACGAACAGAGAGCGACGTTGCCCTGCTTTCAGCTGCCCCACGGCGATGCTCCCAGTCCTGAGCAACGAGTCCCAATGGGAGCAGCGCTGCCACCCGGGACCCCCAACCCCACGGATGGGTGCGGGGGGGGGGGATCCCTTTTGTAAGGAAACCCCTTTGGGAGCAGCGAGGGGGGGGGCTGTGCTGTGAGGTGGGTGATGGAGGAGCTGTTGCCTTGAAACCGGGCTGTTGTGGTGATGCAGTTCTGGAACGGTGCAGCCCGGGTGAGGCTGCAGGCGTTGGTGCTGCTGGAGGCAGAGCTCGGCTCCCATGGCACAGCACCGTGTGCCCAGGTACGGCCCTGCTGAAAACCACGGGGCGTGGGGGGGGGCTGGGGGGGGCAGCATGCAGTGCTGGGCTTCGTGTCCCCCCACCCCCATCCCTTGTGGTTCCTGTGGTGCTGTGCTGTGGGGTTTCCCATTGGAGCGAGGGTTTATTGGTGCTGAGAGGAGGGGATGTGGGTGAGCTCCAAGCTGGAGCTCTGCAGCCTTCGGCCGGGTGGTGATTTGGGGTGGTGGCCATCGATTTGGGGTGGTGGCCATCGATTTGGGGTGGCGGCACCCAGGACGTGCCCCAAATCCTTCCGAGGATGCCCAGCAGTGCCTGCAATCCGAGCGGCTCCCAGCTGTGCAGAGCAGCACCGCAGGGCTGAGCGCTGCAATCCGGCAGGCGGTGCTGGGACACCTCCAGCCTTACGGGGGTGGAGGTGTGGGGCTGGGGGGCTGAACCCCCCCAACGCAGCCCTGCAGAGCATCGGCGGGGCTCTGTGAGGCTGCGGGGGGGGGTGGGGGTGGCACAGAAGCCGTGGCAGAAGGCAGAGCTGTGCTGGGGCTGGAAGGGAGCCGTTGTGCTCCGGCTCTGCTCGCCGTCCTCCCCTTTTCTCTGCACGCCTTTCTCCTGGCTCTTCCTGCAAGGCAAACGGTGCTGCTGCTGGCTGTGCAGATGGGCTGTGCTGGGGGGGGGCGCCGTGTGGTGTTGGAGCATGGGGGGCAGCTCAGCCCTGTGTGCCCCCCACACCCTGCATGATGTCCCCAGCCCTGCGCCCCCCCCGGCCATCCCTGTGTCCCCCCCCAGCCCTGCATCCTCCCAGCCTTGTGTTCTGTGCCCCCCCAGCCCTGATACCCTCAGCTTTGTGTCCTGCCCCCCCCAGTCCTGCGTGCCCCCCAGCCTTGTGTCCTGCCTCCCACCCCGACCAGCCCTGCATACCCCCAGCCTTGTGTCCTCCCCCCAGCCCTGTGCTGTGCCCCCCCAGCCCTGTGTAGCCCTGGCCTCGTGTCATGCCCCCCAGCCCTGCGTCCTTCCAGCCCTGTATACCCCCATCCCCATGTTGTGTGCCCCCCCAGCCTTGTGTTCTGCCCCCATCCCTGCATGCCCCCAATCCCTGCATCCTTCCAGC